AGCCGAGCCAAATGATCCGGCTCACCAAGAAGAGCCGGAATTCCCATCACTATTTCATACAGATCATACTAATGCCCTGATTGGAGGGTGTGTGTTAGTGTATGTGTGGCGCGAGCGAGTGAGACAAAGCGCACGCACCGGTTACGTGTATTGTTGTTGTTAGCATCTGGTGCTAGCTAGCTGCGCTAACGGATATAAGGAGCTTTTTCAAGAACAAGGTGGGGGGAGAGTCCTCTCCAGTCAGACTGAGAGACTGATAACTACAGCTCAGGTGAGGTAAAGGACTCTCTGAGTGTTTAGATAGTTAACTTAGTCTAAGTTATCTCTGTGGGTCTCAAACGGTTTGGTCACCATTTATGTAAACACATATTTCCATTTGAGGGGGGAGTGATTAGTAAAATATGCATGAATAATAATTAAAAAAACATTAACTAGGTGAAAAAAGGTAAGATAAACTATTAAAACTTGTTGAGAGCTAAAACTAGTATTTGCTTCTGCCTCAAAGAGGAGCAGGGGGCAGAGGAGCGAGACAGGTGAGGCTGGTTCAGGAGCACAGACACACTCACAACTATAAATGAACCAAAAACAAATAAATAAACAAGTTTCAATGTTTTTTCATATTGGATATATGTTATTGGTTATGGCCATGATTTTATGATTAGTTAAATGTATACAGTTATGTTTCATATGGCTGTAGTCTCTTTATTTCCCCCTCAAAATGCACCAGATTGATGCATTTAAGTCCAACATTTAAAAATGTGCACATTTTTTAAAATAGTAACCCATGTCCATATGTTTATTTTTGGGTAGTAGATTTAGAGGGCTATCACTACGGGCAGCAACGCTGTAAAAATTGACAAATAAATCCAGCAAAATGGCACAAAAAACTGGTAGTGGCCTGGCTGGGTGTATAATTCCCGGCCTGACTTATTGTCCCAGTCCGGCCCTGGTTGAGAGGTAGTACCCATAGAGTCCAGTAGAGGGCGGAGCCTGTGTAACAACATGGATGATACATCCGAAAAAGCCCTGGAATAACTAGAAAATGTTAACATCTATTGCCATTACTGGAAACGTAACTACATCTGATGCACTACACTGCATACATGTATAGTAGTTCTTAAGAAATTTGAAGGGGCTGCAAAAATCTACGAGGGAGATTTCTGAATACCTGATCACATAAAAGAAAAACTACCCCCAATTCTTTCACACACACATACGGGCAGAGCCATATAATAGAAGAGTTATGACATCTCCGTTCACTCCAATGGACCACTTTTTTACAGCAATGGCGGATCGTGGAGCCTCTCATTCGTTCCCCGGAAGTTAGCGCCAAGGCTAGCAGAGCGGTAGAGTTGCAGCATAATAACCGTTCGTGACGGACTTTTAAAGGTAAGAAGAAGTTTAAAGATTTATATTGCGGATATTATCAGTACATCTGATTCAATTGAACATGTGTATTAAAGGATGTCAGTGGATTATCCCTAAATCAGTAGATTTAGGGAACGTTTACAGATAACAGATCAAGCTAGGATACCGAAGCAAGTTAGCAACACACGTTGAACAGCCTTTTAATTGTAAATTCCGTTCTCTTAATGTCTATTTGGTCCAACGTTGTTGAATTAGAGAAGAGGGGCTTCTAAACGGGATTGTATGCGGGGGTGGAGGGAGTTAAATATTAGATAAATATAACTTTGGTGCGTGTAAGAGTGAGTGTTTTTAGCAGAGCCATATTGTGTCCTTGTGATTATGTTGATTATTACCTGTCTGTATAATGTTGCAGCTCAGCTGATTTTGGATTGATGGCAAAGGGAGAGGAACTTAAGTGAGAGTGAACACACAAGGTAAGTTTAATACTACTGTTTTATATAAGTAAGCATACTAAACATGTATTATATCACTGTATTATATAAGTAATCTTGTTAGTAACCTACTGTATGGCAGGTGGAGGGGCAGTGATGTTACAGGTGGAGGAGCAAAACTGCAAGACTGCAAACTCACAAGACAGAGAAATCGAAGTTTGTTCTCCAGAGAAGAGGTTGATTTCACTTCAATTTTTTAATATTTTCTAAAGATGTGGAAATGGCACAAAAAAAAACTTGAGAGCTGTAACCAAGACAACTGTAACAACATGAGTAGACAGCCACCAAGGTTTTTCAAGTCCCTCTCTTACTCCATTTTGCCAACCCAAACTTCCAGGTACATGACGGGACACCTTGCTTGTTTTTGTTGTTTGCGCTCCTCTGGCAGGTGGAGGGCAGTGATCCCTTCCCTTCTTCCCTCAATCTTTGAGACTAATGTAAGTAGAAGACATGGCACTGTAAATGTTCGAACATTTAAAATATTATACCACTTAAAAATAAGAAATATTACTTTTGTTACTAAGAGTTCATACTTATTATACCTGTGTCACCTTTCACACTATCGCTGTGATCATGAGCTATGGGCTTTGTAGATACAGGTAACGGGGTGAATCGTGGTGCAGGGGCCCTTCTCTTTTTGACCACAGGGCGATGCACGAAGATGGTGGGTATAGCCTCTGCTCTTAGCCTAGCCTTGCCCTTTTTTGTCTTGACAAACTGGTCTGCATCAAAATGTGCCTGCGGAGTGACTTGAGGTTACTTCACACACAGAACAACTGTGTCTGAATCTTGTCTGCCCACATACATATTCCATAGTGGTTGAATACACAGTATTAGGAAACACTTTATACTTACTGGACTTGTTATACTCATTACATACTGTATATACAATATGACCAAGAATGTGAGACAACTTTATAGAAATTCATATCACATCTGTTACTGATGCCATTTGTCATACTTTGTTAAACTCACAAATAATAAAGTTCCATAACTTCAGTTGGGAACAAAGACCACACCTTATCTCCCCAAGGCAATTTCCCATCCAATAGGTGTGCTATATAGGTGTGTATAACCCTTTCTCCTGTCTGTTTATCCCTCTTTCAGCACAAGAACCAGAGGGGGATTCAATGGAGCCTGAATACCTGCACTGAGACCCTCACCCTGCACCCTGAGTCTCAACTCTCAGTGTTTTTCAAGCCTTTCCCTGTTTTTTGTATTAAACAAAACATTAAGCTTTCCCAATGGTGTGGTTTTCGTTTTGTGAAAAAGTGCAAATGCAGTGTTTGTATATAAATCACATGTTTTTTTGCTGTTGGTCGTGAAATTGCTCCTGCTTCCTCCGCTCTGTGTCAGTGGGGAAGCTGTACATTCGTACTCCTTTCTCTGAGCGATTGGAGCATCCCCAGGCAGCACAGCAAACCATGGTGGCGACTAGGAGGCAGCACAGCAAACCAGGACAACAAGGAGGAAAAGGCACAGACAAACTGCATGATATGCTATTCAATGTTTATTGAATTCCATGTATTTGCAATGGATGTTCCTAAAACAACACATTTAGCATCATCATCATCATGCTGCTGCTAGTCCTTTGATAGTCACCTGTCGGTCTCCTGTCCTTTCTGAAAGCCATAAAGATGACATTAGTCATTTAGATAACTTGTGTCCTCAATTACCATGGGATTACTGAAACTACCATGAATTTAAGAAAATGGTAGACATTAATCTAATCTGAATTGTAAAGCATTACTTTAGATCCCCTCCCTCTAAATATATCAATAAACATTAGAAAGTGATGCTCCTGACTACCATACAAGTTTAAGAAGATAATATTGGTTTTAAAGAATTCAAAGCTATAAATAAACAGCAACAGGCTCTTTAACCAAGGCACTGTTAGCCTAACATGTTAACTAGTTGTTCACACTAATCCTAATATTATCACTTAATATTAGCAAATTCTATTTTATTTTTAAAAACATATTGATGTAAATACATACATATATCGATTTGTTGTATAAATATTGCAAATCAAAACCTTTATTCACTAATAATTACCAAAAATCGTAGTTCTATCTCCTGTTATCAATGCATTCACATTGCCCGCCATGAACTTCCGGGGAACGATCCTCGTCTACATGAACCACGTGACGATAACCGTTTTTGGACTTCCGTTGTCATAACTCTTCTATTATATGGCTCTGCATACGGGTATTGGGCCGAGCGCGACACCGTACTTCCGGTCTGCGCCGTTTTACGCGAGGTGCAAGCAGCCGTACACCGTCTAGGTGTTGCTAAGCTTCCTGTACTGAATATCATAGTCTATTGCCTTAATCAATATCTAGTCAACTCTAAAATACCACATATATGCAATGGCATGATAATATTATTGTGACAAGTCACCTGGTGTTTCCAGAATTAGACGTAGGCCTAGATGCAGCCAAAATCGACGAAGGCCACTGTCGTTTTTCCATACATCTGCAGGCAGTCTGTAACAACCCACACAGCTCTAGTTTACGCTGGTAACGACCTAAAGCACACCCCTCAAGTCCAGAGATGTAATCCGAAGACATGCAGTCGTTAATTCAGAAAAAAAACCTAGTGCGCTCTGCCTGGCTAGTTAGCTAGCTGTTTATATTTGCACTTCCAGGATATTAGCACCTCCAGGAAAATGGCGTATTTATATATATTTATATGGCGCGTGTTGCATTGTGGGTAGCTCGTGACGTCACGGTGTGTGAAAGAATGACAAATTCCATAAGCAGTAAATGCCAAATGTGTTAGTTGGATCAAAAATAAACATATACATTAAGGTAGGATTCATTTAGTTAATAATTAACTCTGCTTTTTTATTGTTTAACTTTGCATTTTGTTTTGAATAATATGTATTTAATTGTTTTTTGTATCTCTTAGAAATGCTAATCTATTCATCTCTGAATGTATAGCCATGAGTTTCAGACATATTTAGACCTTAAATATCCCATTTTATACATAATGATCATGCCCATAATAAAAAAAAAAACACAAATAGGCTACAGATACTTAGATTTTATTTTGAAGACGAAATGACAATATTTTCGCTGGTTTCCTGGCTAAATGTGTCCGCCTTGCCGCAGCTCCTCTCTGCCCTGCTGGACCAATGATCCAGCCTGCTTCCTGACGGGCTCGCCTGGATGATGCTCTTCTGTCGGGCTTGCGGCGCCTAGCGGTCCACGATGTAACTTACAACTGAACACAGCATCCTCAGCATCTGTCACATTTAACACACGAAGCCCATGAACATTTTCAAAGAGCAATGGGTCGTTGTTGGCGATTATTGATCAAATCACGTTCAGCTGTGTTTGCTGTCTTGAACACACCCCGCTGAGTATCTCGACATTGTTAAGGGGGATAATGGCTGCACAGGAGCCGTCTCCACCGTCCACCCTGGAAGGCAACAAACCGGGCTTTCCAAAGAAAATCCTAGCTAACAACCTGGATGACGAGCATTTGTGCAATTCGTGCCAGAAAATCCTGAGGAGGCCCCTGCAAGCTCAATGTGGTCACCGCTTTTGTTCGTTCTGCTTCAACAAAATCGTGAGGTGAGTAGTGTCAGGACTGGGGAGCTAGCTATGGGTCTAAGCAGCAGAGCTGGCACCATCCCTGCTAAATACAAAAGCGTACAGTTATATATGTAACACTTTATACGACTACAAAGACAAATAACGATAAATAAATACCTTGTAAAGACCCGGCCACCGCAAAATTCAGCGTACAGGCAATCCACCTGTCACCCTCCACCCCTGTATATCTAAGCCTGTGTGACATTATGTGATGGGACGACCGCTGCCCTCGTAGTCTGGCCCCGATAACCTCTGCCGAGAGCGAGCAGTGGAAATGTCTCAGAGTTCAACCTCCAGGCACGTGCATAGACCTTGAGGCGCTTGAGCACCTGCCCTTTTGCTCTTTTTTTATTTATTTTTCCTAATCAATGAAATTGCCTATAAACATATAGCAAAAAAAGAAAATAATAATCCAAACCTGTGTCGAATACACATTATCTAATGCTTATGTTTTTCTTTCATAATGTTGTGCCTACACAGAAAAAACTGAAACATTGACTTTCCTTAAATGTATAATAAACATTTCACATTAATGTAGTAGGTTGGTTGAAAACAATAATATTAAGTTGATCCTAATATTTGTATTTAAATGTAATAGTATTGCTTTTAACTAACCTAATACAGTTATGTGAAATCTGTTGACATTATACATTTAAGGTAAAGTCATTGTTTCAGTTTTTTCTGTGTAGGCCTATGTATTAAATATAATAATACGATTTTTCAAATAACGTTTAGGTAGTAAAGCTAGCATCTAGCTTCTTCTGCAATATCTTCAATACAATGACAAAGAAAGAATAGTATGTGTGAAGGGCTTTAGTTTATGATTATTGATTTATTGCCAATGTTTTTCTCAATGAATAGTAATAGTTGTTTTATTTGTAAAATGTCAGAAATCACTTTTTACTAAAGCCAGAGTTGAGTTATTCAGATGACTAACTTATTTCTTTATCGTAAAAGTAAAACAAAACCAAGAAAAATGCCTAATCGTATGCCTCAAAGCCAAAGCGTTTTTTGTGTGAAATAAACATAATAAATAATAATAATTAGAACAATAACAAATCTGCCCAAATATTTTTTTTAACCAATAAGCTGAAAATGCATTTAAATAATTATAGTCAAAGACCTGTTCAAAACCCTTTACAAAAAGTATAAAAAACCACTAAACATTTTTCAATTAGAAGAAATACTTAATAAAAAATAGTTTTTGATTTCCTTTTTCTGTTTGGACTTATCCCTTTATCAACTAATGGTTTAAGCTCTATACGTGCGACACAATGATCTTGAGTGAAGGGTCTCTTATAATCTCATCATTAGCCAAAGTAGTGAACACTTATAGTGGTGATGGTCATCATGAGCATCTATACTGTGACACATGGTAAGTCATAAGTATTTGCAATGTATCTTCACTGATGTCATGTTTGCTTTTCCCTCTTTTAAGTTCTGGACCTCAGAAATGCAGCGCTTGCATCAAAGAAGAATTGTTTGAAGAGCCCACCTCCATTCTCAAGCAAGGCGGTGTACGTACAGTTTTTACACCTCATAGCATCTTATTTCAAATGTTTTCACACAATAAAAAAAAATACACATAACAGAAAAACAATGTAATACAGAAGAGGCAGAAACCCACTGGGCTTATTCAAAACCTCCAACTGACGTTTTTTAGACGTTATAGAGAACACTAGATTCAGTGGTGAACCATCAGGGCCTTCAAGGTATTCAGAGAATACCCTGGAACACTCAGATAAAAAAAAGAAGAAATTAATTATATAAATGAAATTGTATAAAATGAATAAATGAGAATCGTATCTGTGTTGTTGATCTGTAATATTACAGTGTTACGTTCATAGGTTTGTCTTTCTTGGTCCTTGCACTATGCATATGAGTGGTTTTGTGTTAGAAAAAAAATGCAACCAATCAGATCTTGTTCTGGGTCTCTGCGTAGAATACCCTTCAACCAAGGTATTCTATATCCTTGATAGAAGGCCCTGGCCGTTGCACTGAATGAGAGCGTACGTTTGGACTGACAGTTTGATCAACCAATCATATATTGATTTGTAGCCAATGGGCGTATTCTTTCAGAGTTTCCCTCGGTTCCAGGGTACTCTAGAAGGCCCGCTAGTTCACTGGCTCGAGAGAGAGAGGATCCAGCGTAAGTTTGATTTTTTTTTTACGTCGAAATGGCAACGGTGAAGATGATTTTGTTGCGGAATTGTTGTTAGTACCCTTTTCAAGATGATCATTCAGTGAAAAGATGGACATTATAAAAAAAGGCCGTCCAACACAAAGTAACTGCCTCCGTGACGTCCGTCTGACTAGAACACCCACATTTGAGAATCCGGGGGGGGGGTGTCTACAGAAGGTCCAGTTGTGATAGATCCGGTTCGCCACTGACTAGATTAATATCTACAAACATAATAGGAATTCAATAGTGATTGCAAACTGTTGGAAGAACACATAATAAAAACAGCAATACAACAATTCAATGTTATACAAATTAAGGAAATGTGATCACGAAAGTGTATGTGTGTATTTATCTGTTGTAGGTGAGTGTGTGCTTGTGTTTTTAAGGGGGGGATATAGAAATGTGAAATGTCACTAAGAGAAACAAAATAAATAAGGTAACTCAAGATGGATACATGGATATCCAATACACAGGAAAAGCATTAACGAAACGGCATATAAATGGTCTTTTATTTTGCCGTTTTTTAAAAGCATTTTATACAGGAACAGTGTTTTATCAGGTGGCCTTTCCATAATTTGGTCCACTCAATTGACCTCTGCAAGTGATGCACTTTGCGGGATCAAGATCTAAAGAGTTGCATAAAAATGAACCTGTGATCTTGCTATGTCCATTTTGAAATTCTCAGGACTATTCTATTCACCTGAAAGTATCTTGTACCGATAAACTCCTCCATTGGACTCCTTTCATTACTTCAGTAACATAAAGGTATCATTATGTAACACTTGCGCTTATATTGGCTAGTGCTCCAACACATTGTACGTGATAGGTTGAGGGGTGGGACATCTCTAAGCGGTTGACCAATCACAACAGAGCCAGTCAGCTAACCAATCCGAGCAGACTGGGCTCTGGTTTCAGACAGAGGATGAAAAGAGGTGCTGCAGCTGAACAGGAGCAGAATATGAGCCCTTTAAGTTCTCTAGTGTTAACATCATGACAGGTCTGTCGTTGGAGGTGGTGTCTCGGTTTGATTGGAATCTTTGGTTTGATGATGAGAGCTAACATTTTCGTGGATGTGAGAACCTTGCAGTCAGCACTGCAACAACACATGTGCTCGAGTGTAGAGCCACCTTAACATCATCTGTGATTGATTTACATCTCTTGTCAGCTCAGACAGTAAATCAAGAATGACTGTTGTGTATCCTGAAACTGAACGAGTGCTAATTGAAGTAGAGCCAGGAGAGAAAAGAGAGCTCGTCAGGAAAGTGATGCACAGTGTTTGTAACGTGAGTGCTCAGACTGTAACCGAAGACACAAACCAACAACCTCTGCTTCTCCACGCAGGCCTTTCCTGACAACGCAGCGCGGAGAGAGGTTGAGGCCTTGGCAGCTGTCTGTCCCAACGAAAGATGCACGTGGACGGGAACTATCAAAGAGTTTGAGGTAAAGCAGGCGAGGACATTACACCCATACACTCATTCTGAGAGTGGCTGCTGTACGCACTTTCTCTGGCCTTTCTAAACACCATAATGAAGAACGTTTCTGCCACTGGTAACTGGTTGAAAGAAGCTTTACATACACAGGCTTGGGGAATAATGATTTAATGTAGCTGGATAATGTTATCAGGATAAAAAAGAAAGGTAAATGTATTCCCTTACAGTTACATAAAAACATGTAATCAGATTACTATTTATAAAAACTGTGTTCCCTCCAGAGGGAGTTTCACTCCCACAAAATGCCCCCCTGCCTGGAACGCCTCCATTGGACTCCTTTGTTTACTTCCAGAACATAATGACAACACTATGTAACACTCGCCTTATTTTGGCTACCGCCCCAACGCATTATACGTGATAAGCTAAGGGGCTGTGCTTTTCCGACTCATCTGTAAGCGGTTGACCAATCACAACAGAGCCGGCCAGCTAACCAATCAGAGCAGACTGGGCTCTGGTTTCAGACAGAGGGTGAAAAGAGGTGCTGCAGCACAGGCAGTATGAGGAAAATGAAGAGCTTTTTGAACCTTAAAGCATTTAATATGTCTCAGTAGAGGCACGAAATACAAATAAGAACCTGAAAATGAGCATAATTATCTCCTCTCTAAAACATAGTTTGTTTCCGCCCATCCCTCTCCTTCTCAGCTGCTGAATCCCTTGTGCAACCACGCCCGACCTCAGCCTCTCAGCGACTTTGTTTGTTTCCTGCAGTGGCTACAACATGTGTACGTTTTCTTTTTTGCTCACCCCCAGGCCTGCCATGAGGGAAACTGTGACTTCATGATCATCCTGTGTCCCTCCTGCAAAGAGCTGATGAGAGCCAACGAGCAGGAGCGGCACATCGAGAGAGAATGCCCCGAGAAGACGCTCAACTGCAAATACTGCAAAGAGCCCTTCCTGTTAAAGAACATCAAGGTCAGACTGTCATCACACTGTGAGTGTTTCATTAAAGGAGAGATATATGTGAGGAATAATGTTCAGTGAGGCGATCATTAATGAAAAAGAACACCAACCGTAAATGATCTTATAATTATAATTATATAATAAATTATATAATGTGATTAATCGTTGAACATGGTCAGGTAGGGCCCTAACCACTTCCACTTCGTTTGAGCTTTCGCATGGAGGGTCCGTCACATTAAGCGCCGCTCTAAACCAACTAGTTTGCAAGGGCGTGCAAGTTAATAAACCCTCCAACATGAAGTCTGCCTCAGCCCTTAACCTGTTGCCCTACCTGACCCGGTGCAATGCTGTTGGTGTCCCTCATGAAACACGCTGTATACAAATGTGTCCGTGCAAACACTCACTGGACAATTCTGGGTTCATAAACTCTAGTTGATAAAAACTGTAGATGTGTTCCATCCATCCATCCATCTTCTCCCGCTTATCCGTGGTCGGGTCGCGGGGGTAGCAGTTCCAGCAGAGAGCCCAGAACTTTCTTTTCCCTGGCGACATCAACCAGCTCTGACTGGGGGATCCCAAGGCGCTCCCAGGCCAGCGAAGAGATATAATCCCTCCACCTGGTCCTAGGTCTACCCCTTGGTCTCTTCCCAGCTGGACGTGTCTGGAATACCTCCCTAGGGAGGCGCCCAGGTGGCATCCTAACTAGGTGCCCGAACCACCTCAACTGGCTCCTTTCGACGCGAAGGAGGAGCGGCTCAACTCCGAGTCCCTCCCTGATGACCGAACTTCTCACCTTATCCCTAAGAGAGACACCAGCCACCCTGCGGAGAAAACCCATCTCGGCCGCTTGTATCCGCAGATGTGTTCATTTGATTTTAACATTTTGTATATTTACAGGTACCAAACAGCTCATAAACATCAGATAAAAGAAAAAAGAGATTTACAAAAATATTTGTATTATAAGTTTAAAAAGTGTCAGAGAGATGCTGATTTAAAATCGTTGTTACTGAAATAATATGTAAAAATGTATACATAAACATATATTTAGTCAATTCTTGTAATGAGGTCTTACTGCACCTGGATGAGAGATCTCTCTGATTGTGAACTCACAATGCATACTGTTTTAGGCTCATGATGAGATCTGTCCAAAGTACCCGCTGATCTGTGAAGGCTGTGCAAAGAAAAAGATCCCCAGAGGAAAGGTACCCCACGTATTCTGTTCAAGTCATTTATTTTGATTTTGTTGGATTGGTCTCATTTACCATTTATTCTGCAACCCTTTCTATAGATCATAAGCTTCCTTCATTTTTGTTTTGCAGTATGTGGACCATATTAAATTCTGCAGTAAATTTAAAGCACCATGCCGATTCCATGTTGTTGGCTGCGATACGTCTGTAAGTAGACATTTTCATCATAATTTGCTATGTGTGTGAAATGGCTTATATAACAACTACTGGATCATATAATAACTCCAACATTCAACAATCTTTCCCTTTGCATGTTACTTTTTTCGAATAGCACACAATATGACTGTTTAAGCCTTTTTTAAACTGCGGAACAGTAAAAGTGAAAACATTTAGTTTGTAGATACTTCAGCAAAATCCTCTGAAAACTAAAATGTAAATGTATTAAGCACCGCTTTCTTTTCTTCAATCTTTAATGAAAATACTGAACCGCGAATTGCATTTGATGGCAATTCAAAACAGTGTGATAGTGTAAATCTCTCCTGAGCAGGTGGCAAATGGTGTGTGTGAATGTGTGTGTGAATGTGTGTGTGTGTGTGAATGCTTACTTTTGCTCTAAAAGTCCTTGATCGTAGAGACTAGAAAAAGTTGTGCAAATACAGTCCATTGAGCTTTCACTAAAATGAACAAACATCTTAATTGACAAAACTATTTTGTATTTTCATCAACATGTATTTTCTTCTTCTATGGTACAATTCAACACAGCATAATTAAAATGCCATTTGTTTATGTGTAATATATGAGGCCTGTATTCTGTGCTCTGAAGGTTGTTCTGCTTGTGTCTTTCTTTGAATGGAGGTGGAGAAAGAGAAGATCCATGACCATGAGAGGCAGTGCTCATACGAACACCTCAACATGCTCCTGCATTTCATCATGGGCATCAAGGTGAGCCTGGAGAGCCTGCAGCCCCAGAGCCTGGAGGCCGCCAACCACAAGCTGCAGGAGCTGCACCAGTCCCTCCGGGAGCTGGAGCTCCAGATGAGCCAGCTGGTGGGGGGAGGGGGGTTGGCGGCCTCCGTGCAGGGTGCCTGCGCCCCCACCCTGGCCCCCTCCTGCACCCCGCTGCCCAACGGCGTGGAGGCTGCTCTGGAGCTGCAGCTCCAGAGCGAGAAGGCCAAGGTGTTGGAGCTGAGCCGCCGCTGCCAGGAGCTGGAGCTCAAAGTCAGCACGTTCGAGAACATCGTGAGCGTCCTCAACCGAGAGATGGAGCGCTCCTGCACCATCGTGGAGGCCTACAACCGCCAGCACAGACTGGACCAGGACAAGATCGAGATCCTCAACAACAAGGTGACCTCTGCACTGCAGCTAGCATCAAGCTAATGATCCAGGACGGATATAAGGTTGTCATGGCAGCAGAACTGAAATACATTTGAAAGGTCGGCTTGTTCTAATCATCATGCTTTTTCTTCAAATCCACTGATAACATCATCCCCATCCTCATCCAACTGCACTGGCCCACATTTAAAGGTGTCCTATCATGAAAAATGCACTTTTTAATGTATTTTATACTTAAATGTGTCCCCGGTGTGTAGGAGAACTCACAAAGTGTTAGAAAACAAAACCCTCTCTCTTTTCCTCCGTACCCAAATCTCTAAAAACGGGGTACAACGGAGCTGATCCAGATTTGTGTCCGATATGATGTAATATCGGAAATGTGGGCTGGCTTTATGCCCACGGCCCTATCAGAAACGTCGCTATCAGAAACAATGCACAACGTGTTTCTGACGTAATATGGTCTTTGTTTACATTAGCAAGCATCGCTAACACTCAGAGCTAACGCTGTACTGGAGAGAGTATGTGTAAAAAAGCAGGAAATAAAAAACTCACCTTGTGGTAAATCCGCAAGAGAAAAAGCATTTGAGCTCCATACTGTTTCAGATATAATCCAAATAAGTGGTTTGGAACATGATATGGCGTTTAATCACGGCAGCATTTAGCTGAATCTGAGCAGAGCAGACAGCCTGCTCGTCACAGAACTCACAGTGTGCCTGGTGCTCAAAAGGGGGCGGGGCCAGCAGAGAATCAGCACTTCTCTAACAGGGCTGAAATAGAGGGATACGAGGGATGTTTAAAATGCATGGTCTGTTTGGTATTTTGAGCATAACACATCATAGACATGTTTTTTATATATTTGTATATATCTGAGACCCATAATATATGCCTAAAAATAGAATGATAGGAGATCTTTAAATCCCAACTAAAAACCCACCTGTTGGCTAGTTTAATTTATATTAAATTAAATGTCACAAATTGTGTTATCTTAGTTTTTATTTCAGTTTCAGCAACTTAACATATCAACACTTGTACCTAATGTCTTTTCATTTTTCCTTCAGCTGTATCAACATAGTATATACAATATTATAAAATATGAAGGAAAAACAAGAAAAAAATATAATATAAAAAATATATATTTAAACTTTTTTTAATGCAAAAACCTACATTTGAAATAAACGTTAATTATAAACTAAAGCTGAATTTTTCTTTAGTAAAGTAAAAGGTACAATATTTAGTAATGAAGTATGAGGCATGAAAATAAAATTCTCAAGTAATGGACCTCAATTTTGGTACTAAGTACAATGAGTGATTGCAATACAATTCTATACAGACCTATTATATACATTCATAGATTTCACATAACTGTATTAGGTTAGTTGAAAGCAATAATATAAAAAAATGTATTAGGTTCAACTTAATATTAATCTGTTGACAAAATACATTTAATTAAAGTCAACATCTCAGTTGGTTCAGTGTGGGAGCGTATCTCAGTAAAGACTCACAGACAGATGTGTTCCTGTGCTGCAGGTCCGTCAGCTGGAGAGGACGGTGAGTCTGTGGGACCTGTCCATCGTGGAGATGGAGGGGAAGATGAGGGAGATGTCTGCGGCCACATACGACAGCATCTTTGTGTGGAAGATCTCCGACTTCACCAAGAAGAGGCAGGACGCCGTGGGCGGCCGCGCCCCCGCCATGTTCTCCCCCGGTAACCACTGAGCTCTGACCCACACAGTGAGGGGCCATCGGTCTCTTTCAGGGATTCCACTTTCAACAGCAGAAATCAAATCTGAGCTGACAGAAAATGCTCCGTTTTAGTTTAACACACACAGTTAAGCTCAAACACACTATTCTATGAACATATAGGTTCACCTGCTGAATTAAAAACAGAACTAATGAAGCAAAGAAAGTGAAAACCATAAAGCAGATTCAGGCAGTAGACGTATAGATTCACACTGAAAGTATTATCCTACAGAACAGTACAGCTGACAGAGAAGAGAGAACATCTGATCCTTTACAACAAACACTATGATCTTTTTAGGTTTCAGTAACATTGTAATCCTGCTATTAATCCCCAATTTAAGGAATGTAATAGTAATCTGATTACATATTTTTTAAGTAACTGTAATGGAATACAGTTATTTATGTATTAGTTTATTCCACTCATGGCAATTATTATAACACAAAACATGTACACTATACGCATGTTTTGGTAGCCCATGACGGAAAGGAGCAGGGAAATGAAAATCGTTCCTTTTTTTGTATCCTGATTACATAATCCTGTTACATGTAATCCATTACTCCCCAAGCCTGATGTCAACATTAACGCGTTAACACTCTCAATTCATCTGGAAACCTTAACGCATTAAAGAAAAATTGTATTAACGAAAATGATTCACATGACCAAGTTTGACCCAAAGTTGCTCCGTAATACCAGTGCATATGTTTACCATGAATTCCATGGCAGTGAAAAGGCAAACAAATGGAGAGAATTGTAAAAGCTACATGTGTTGCACTGACTGAAGACCACTGGCCATCATCAATGACCATCATTATGTTTTCCAGCTTTTTATACCAGTAAATACGGCTACAAGATGCGCCTGCGGATCTACCTGAACGGCGACGGGACGGGCCGGGGGACGCACCTCTCACTCTTCTTCGTGGTGATGAGAGGAAACAGTGACCCACTCCTCAAGTGGCCTTTCAACCAGAAGGTGAAAACTGTTTTTTACTTGACAAAAATAATGAATCAATCCATCCAAATATAGCAATTTTCATAAATTAAAGGTAACATAAAGTGCATCACAAAAACAAAATACCAACACCCCCCTCCCAGTCATTAGCCTTATAAACATAATACTACCAGGCACTTATGAATATATAAGTTAATATATCCAGAGTAACTTCTGCTTCAACCACAGGATGACTTTAGTTCATTTACAGATTGAGAATCATAATTGAAAACATAACCAACTAATAATTGATGTCTTACTTTACAATATATATACAACAGTATATAAAGTCATTATTTACCATTTCCTTTGGCAAGATGCTGAACCCCAATTTGCTCCTGACACATTGCCAACGCTTACTATGGCTCTGTAGCAGGAAGCTGCGTCGATTGCTCTAAAGCTCGCTCATAATGAAATTGGATACTGTTTGTGTTCATTTACAGAATACTATTGTTCAATTAAGTGTCCACAAGAACTTCATTTAGGTATGCTTAATAGATGTCTTACAAAGTAGACTGAAAACTATAGGAACCGAATAAGCTATGTGAAAAAAAGAAGAAACGTATCACAAACCCTTTATACTATCACACTATATAGATACTGTATATATATATATATAGGGTTAGGGTTAGGTTGTTAAAACAAGGCATATGTTATTGAGGGAGCTCCATTATGTTATTCTTTAACTTTGGCCAGTGGTTAGCTATCTGACAGTCTTTATGCTAAGCTAGGCTAAACACGTCCTGACTCCAGCTTCAAACTCGATACAAATTGAAGCTACTTTTTTGATTACCTTTGTTTTTAAATGATGTTAAAATCCAGAAAATCCCCAATGTGTCCAGGTCACCCTCATGCTGCTGGACCAGAACAGCAGGGAGCACATCATCGATGCCTTCCGGCCCGACGTCTCCTCCTCGTCCTTCCAGAGGCCCGTCAGCGGTATGAACATCGCCAGCGGCTGCCCGCACTTCTGCCCACTCTCCAAGCTGGACTCCAAGAACTCCTACATACGTGACGACACCATCTTCATCAAGGCCATCGTCGACCTCACTGGGCTCTAGGTAAAGGACTGGGGCCATTCTGTTGCTCCTCGCCACTTTAATTTCCCCAGTCACTGCCATCTGTCTTTGAGAACCGTCTTGTTTTTTTTGGGTTAAAGTACGGATTGTTGGAGGGAATATAGAAGACCCCAACAAGAAGCTGAGCTTACTTTGACCGGTGGGTCTTCATACGTTGTTGTTTATCTAAAACATTGATTACTTACCAAAGTGACTGGAGAAGTGAACTCAGTATACAGTGTGTGCCAATATCTGCCTGGGGACAGGTGTTCATGTTTATGAGCTGATACTGTAGAAGCTGTCCATTCACATTTAAACGTTGTTTCCTGCTGCTAGTAAATAAGGTCCAAACAATAATTGCTGCTAATTTTGTTCCAAAATAGTTAGGATTTAACCAGTAGCTAGCATTACTTCAATAACTATTCCATCCCAATACGTTTTTGTTGGGCCCAACAAGCTAAGAGGACACGACATATGGCCTTTAGAAGTTGAATTTGCTAACGTGCTAGCAAAGTCTATGCTCTTCTCACAGTAGTGTGGTGCAGGAATGAGTAAGCATTTTTACCACTTCTGTTTTTTTCGAACGCCTGGGGTTAATACAGGTTTTTCTCAGGTTTTGTACCACGATATACATACGTCAGTAAATACCACACTGGTGTCTGAAGCTATGTGTAATAAAAACAGCAGTTACTAACAAGTGTCTAAATGACACTACTAAATGTCAGCATGCCGAACATTAGCCACCTTTAGCTTAGCGGTGATTACGCGGAACCATGCGCAAGTCATGTAGGTCGTTTATAGCCTAACGTTACCATTTTACTATTGGCAAATGCATACACTTCAGAAATCATTACAGTGGTTTTATTATGTTGAGATGATCCTGCTGAACTAAATTGTTAGTATCATAAACTTGTGTGCCAAATATCTTATTTTCTGCAATATTTGAAAATCCATTCAAAAACTCCCATTGCAGTTAGTCGAGGGACCCCTTGCGATGCCAACTTCCGGATCGGCCTTCACAAATAGGAAATCTCTGCCTCCCTCTATACAGAGTAGCATTAGTAATTCCTGTCTCTGGCAACTGATGGTTAAACACCTGAATATTCTCTGCTTTAAGTGCCAGCCACGTCTGAGGGACATTTATGGCTCTTGAGCTTGTAAGATGCTCCCCTATGTTCTGCAGCAGGTCTCTGATCTGATCTGTCTGTACGTTTGTACAGTGGGTTCATCAGACAAAAAAATAGTTCAAATAGCTTTTGTTACCTAATTTTCATGTGGAGTGTTATATGTTAGTTTGTGTTGTTGTTATAGTTTGACACAACACCAATATTTTCAGATTGAGCCTTATATCAATGATAGTGTTGCTATGTAGAATAAAGAGCTAACACACAGCGATAGTTATGCTCACCAATCCGCTGCGCTCCTTAATTTGCCATTCGCGTGTAACCATTTGCGGTGGTGGACATGGCTTGAGCTCCATGATTTCTGTGTGTGTGTGTGTGTGTGTGTGTGTGTGTGTGTGTGTGTGTGTGTGTGTGTGTGTGGTGTGTGTGTGTGTGTGTGTGTGTGTGTGTGTGTGTGTGTGTGTGTGTGTGTGTGTGTGTGGTGTGTGTGTGTGTGTGTGTGTGTGTGTGTGTGTGTGTGTGTGTGTGTGTGTGTGTGTGTGTGTGTGTGTGTGTGTGTGTGTGTAAGACCCAGTAAATATCTTTGTATATTAAACTTTCGCTGTCTGCATACTTACACTTTCTTTGACAATTTTAAGGATGTTCTTATTTTAATTGTAGCAGATTAGCATATTTAATAACATGGAAATATTGAAATGGGCAAAATGAAGTATTGGAGATGCCTTTGCAGTGATGTGTGCAATGTATGTACCTACATGAGATGTATAGAAATGAGTCTTCTTCATAGAGGATTCATTTGTGCTTTTTTTCCTACACTTTGTGTTGCCTAATGAAGTTCCCCAAACAGTTCTGCGCTCAAACACTGAGCACTGCTGCACAAATGCTGTGTGGCGAGGTGATACGTTAACACAAAATGCTTCACAAACCAAACAAGTGTTGCCCTGATTGAGCTCAAGAAAATTGTCAGCCATACATAGCTTAAAGGTCACCTATTATGAACAATCTACCTTTTCACTTTTATACATAAACATGTGTCCCATCTGAAGAGATTCTGAAACTTTCAGGAAAAAAGATTATTATCCATTTATATAAAAACCTGATCAGATTTGATCCACTTTATGATGTCATAATGATTTGTTGGCTTGTGTAACCATTAGCCAATCAGCAACCAAGGTAACCCCCCCCCTTATCACCTGAATCTCCTCCTAGAGCACCATTGTGTTCTTCTTAACCAAATGTCTCTCAGAGGGGCGTGGGGAGGGGCTCCTTATTTTCATCTAAAGTAACAGACAGAGAATCAGCACTTTGGAAACAGGGCTGAAACAGAGGGGATTATGGGTAATGCTGCAATGATCTGTTTGGTGTTTCAGACAAACACTTCAGAGATATGTTTATATATCTGAGACCTATAATGTATTGATGAAAAACAGTATAATAGGGGACCTTTAATATCTAAAGTACAGTTCAAAAGGACATTATTGGTACTGAGTCATCTGGAGAAACAGAAATGTAGAGCTGTGTCATCAGCAAAACTACAGAAACGTATGCTGTGTCTCTTGATGACATTTCCAAGTGGAAGTTTGTATAGATTAATAAAGTGAAGGACCCTATTGAGCCTTGGGGAACACCACATTTCATTTTATGCCTCTAAGATGCCTCTATTGTCATCTTCTTAAATATATATATATATAGTACAGTATCAAAAGCAGCGCTTAAGTTGAGCAGTGCTAAAACCGAGGGCTTGATTTACCAATCATTCAAAATCTGAACTAATTCTGTTTCAGTGCTATATTGATACACAGATTTATACGCTCCAAAAATACTGTTAGAATTAATACAATCATTTAACTAATTTAAAATAAATGTATGTAAAACTTAACTTTAAAATGGCAGATTTGATACTGGTCTGTAGCTTTTTAAGTTGGAAGCATTTGTGGGTCTCTTGCTGCCCTAGCTGCTTCTGGTTAAGCTGTGTGTACTATTACTAACCGCAGAAAGGATGTTGAAGCTTCTGTGAAGACACTGACTTATATTTCCATGTGGGTGTTTCCTGTGGCTATTCATTAAACACAAACATGTAGAGACTTCAAGATGGAAGCAGAGCTGATCTATCAAAAAGAAGAAACGGTTGATATTATTGTAATATTTTCCTATTTTTGGCTCTCTGGAAAAATTCAAACTGACCTACCTATTACAGAAAATACGTGCCTGTACCTTTATTATGTTCCCTGTGCTGTCCTGTGAGTTTAAATTTACCAAAATGTGACACTTTAATTAATTTTGTTTCATTTGTATTTTGTTATTATTGTCAAGTGTGAACCTCCCCCTTTATCTGAACCCATTGATGTGATGAAGTGACTAAGAATGTAGTGATTTTCACAGATGATTCTCATAGCATATTCATCCAAACACATTCAGCATGCCTTCAAACCTGAAGCTCCCAGTGCATGAGACGTTTCAGTAGAAAAAAGAACAGATTTAAATTATTTTTATGATCAATATATAGAGCATACTAGCATTGTGATATCATTTTGGGACTAACATTGATTGTGCTGATTTTCAGATTTGTGCTGCTGTGAAATGTAACATATCTGATTATTATATAGATTGTATTCTTTTATTTATTGAATCTTCAGACTCCAGCCGGGGATCCGTGTCCCATCTGAGCGGTTGTTATGCTGTATCAGCGATATTGACTCATTGGAAATGCCACACTGCCTCACTGTTATTGCAACAGAATTAACAATATGTCAATGTGATGTATGTATTTCAGTCTGACTGAAAGCTTTTCTTTACATATCTATTTCTCTGTTTATGGCCTGTGTTGAGATTAAGATGAAATGCTTTCATCTGTAGCAATGGCATCAATCGGCTTGTTGTTCTCTCTGCTACGTTGTGTGGATCGTAACTTGTGTGTTAGTGAACTCTTTGTACTACCAGAAATGTGTTCCATATTTGTATTTAGTTTTCTTTTATTAAAGGTTTTAAGGTGCACTCTATGCAAAGACGTGTGATGTTAATCAAGTTTGTAAAGTAACAAACTACTACAGCTCATTGGTGCGTAGATTAACACAGTTTTACCACAAGGGGGCGCACATGCTACACATACACACAAAGATGCAGCATGTCAGTGTTAATGTAGGTCGTTTGGATTTAAAGTCAGGGTTGGGAGGGTTACTCGGAAATATCATTGGTTACAATTTCTTGATACCTGTACAAAATAAATAATCAGTAACCTAATCTGAGGATTCAAACATAAAAGAAATGTAGCATATATTTTTTAGACATGTAACGGTAATCTGATTACGTCCGTATTTTAATATAACTGTAAGGGAATACTGTTCTGAGTACAGATCTTCAATTGTACTTAGTTACATTCTATCTCCTGAGAGCATTGCACACGTTTAAAATAATTGAAACTGATGGACCTCTTCACAGACCTCAAATCATATTTCTTTGTTTTGTTGATTTCCAGCTCAAATCAACTCACCTAAACTCAGTTCACCTTTTTAAGCTTTTCTAATTGTTAAAGTCATGGAAAACACATGGGATGTATTACATTTAGCACTATAAAATAGTTTTATTGCTGATTACTCAACGAAATATCAATGATAGGAACCGACATATTCACGTTCAAAGAAGCCATTCTTGATTTAGAAGCCTCCCTGACTCTACATCACGTCATCCTGCGCTTAGACAGGCCGACTTTCCCACACATCTGTCCCACTGACAGACTTCCTCCTGTGGGATTACTGGAACATCAGGCAGTAAATCATCCTGTGGCAGTGAGCATGTAGAATGATGTACACATTATATATTTGGATGTTATCTCTGTTAAATGGTAATTATTTGTTGCTGCATGCTTATATCGTACCAAACAGCCACTAACCTTACTTAGCTCAAAAAAACATTGTCTTAAAATGTAGTACTTTAATGTACAAAAGCACAATGTGTATGTGTAGGCCAGAAACAGTGGTGGATCCGTAGCTTCAAAGAGATCATGTGGAGTAGCCATCACTGCTAGGATAGAGGAAATGACCAGTGACAGGCACTTGGGAATACCGTGAGTTCATCTAAACCAAGAGGAAACATTACCTGCCATTTCTATGAATGAGCCTATGGTTGTCTACAGGCGGCTCTCTGTTGGATCTCCTGATCCAGGTTAATGTGCTGCCCTCAACCATGCATGCTGGAAAGAGAATGGAAAGTCTCAGGGTCTGCAATAAAATAAAAATATATAGAGTTGCTGAAAGAGGATCAAGTGGCTTTCTGGAATAGAGATTCGCTTTCACCAGAGACCAAAAGAAACAAAGATTGCATAAAAGTATGTCCGTTATTGGCATGTGAACATTCATTGGATTCTACGACCCATGACTGTGATGGCAGGCTTAATGACTGGCTGTGAGTTTTTCCATACAAAATGTGTGTAAACTGTTTGGTCCTCAGAAGTAATATCAGATAAGCTAGTGTGTATCAAACATATCCAAGTCTTCAGACTACTACTATCCTCAGGCAAGGTTGCACCAAACTTTGAATGTTGAACTCTCTTCGAACAACAGTTTCGTTTTTGACATAGATCAAATGTTATAGGCCTACTGTGGAACTAAAACTTTAAGCTTCAATTAAAAATGTGATCCAGTTTAAATTTAAATGTACTCTTTGGATGTTTAACATTCTAAATGGCTGTCATTTAGAGATCAATCGAGCAAATAATCAAGACTGAAAGATCGAGGTTGCAGATACAAGCGGTCAAAATGGGTTTCCTATGGAGGTTGGCATCTCCCTTAGGGATAAGCTGAGAATTTCAGTCATGTGGATGGCCTCAGAGTAGAGCCGCTGCTCCTTTGCTTGGGAAGGAGCCTGGGAGCCCCCTGGAATCCCCCAGTCAGAGCTGGTTGATGTGTCCAGGGAAAGGGAAGTTTAGGGCCCTCTGCTGGAAGCCCAGCTAGCAGGGAATGTTCTCACAACTTTGGCTAACGTTACCTACAGGTTCTAATAATGTTTTAAAGAAACGTTTTAATCTGATGTTCAAATAACCTTTTGAGGATGTTTATTATTTCAAATAATGTTCCTACACTTAAAAAAAAACGGGGAATAAGATTTACTTAGTTTAACTCACTCAGAAAACCTAAGTAAATGTAACAACATATATTTCAAGTAGCTTTTACTTACAGTTAAGAAGTCTTTGTTACTAAAGGTACTACAATTTACTTAAAGGTCCCATGTCATGCTTTTCCGGTTATTACCCATCCCCTTGTGTGTTATGAAGGTTTTTATGCATGTAAACGGTCTGCAGAGTCAAAAACCCTCAAAGTACACTTTGTAGCGAGTACAACTCTAACACAGAAAATACCTCCCCAAAACGCCTCGTTGGAGATTTCTCATTGTCCAATGCTTTCTTCCTGGGTATCGCTGCGTAGGGATACCCAGTAGCCATGCCCAG